CCCTCATCTATGAGATTACCAATCGAGATCCATATGAAGTCATGAAGCGAGATTGCCATCAACGATTCGATACCTCTGACTATCCTATGAATAACCAATTCGGAATACCACAGGTCAATAAAAAAGTGCTCGGAATGATGTCAGATGAAAACAAGAGTCGAATAATGACGGACTATGTGGGCTTGAGATCTAAACTATATGCCACCAAAGTGTTGACAACTGAAAATGAAATTGAAAAGAAAAGATCAGAATTGCATGCAGAAAACTATGATCAGGAGGAAATCGATGATATAATCATGTATATGGGTGTAATGAAGAAGGCGAAAGGTGTAAAGAAGTCTGTTGTTAAAACAACTATAACTTTCGATGACTATGTTGAATGTCTGGAAACAGCCAAACAGAAAACAGTATCACAAAACTTGATTAGAGCCAAACAGTACCAGGTCCATTCAATCACGCAGAACAAGATAGCTCTCAGTCCAAATGATGATAAGAGATACATTATACCAGGAATCGATGAAGCGTTACCATGGGGCCATTATTCCATCAATGGTGAAGCAATGGAAATTGATAATTAATTAATTAATTTTATGTAAAATGTGTGATGAATGATTAGGTTAGCAATCGAACAAAAAAGAACCATCAGGCGAATTAATGAAGTGTTTCTATTAATTTAGGAATTGATCTTCGTGCTGTCTGCGAAAACATACATCAGACGAATTAATGAAGTGTTTCTATTAATTTAGGAATAAATCTTCGTGCTGTCTGCGAAAACATACATCAGACGAATTAATGAAGTGTTTCTATTAATTTAGAAATAAATCTTCGTGCTGTCTGCGAAAACATGCATTAGACGAATTAATGAAGTGTTTCTATTGATTTAGGAATAAATCTTCGTGCTGTCTGAGAAAAAATTGTTAACCTAATTATTTATCGTCGCAAGTGGTCAAAGTAGGTCTACCGGAGAGCTTCCCACTATAAAAAGAAGCAACGCGCCACAAGGCACTACCTCGAGGGTGGTGGGGAAATGTGCTGCTATTTGTATAGTTTATTGAATATATTATAAACATTTTCAACACTGTGTTTGATTTTAATCCTTTGGTGTAACCCAGAGCTGTTTCACATGTTTTTAGTTGAGAGTTATTCGGTATTTGTCGCGGAAACACCTCGAACGATAACGAGATTGTTGTTATCTTGAATGAAGCAGAAGTGGTGGGTATAATGAAATATGTCTGACATTTCAGTGGCGTTTACGTAAACATTCCACGATGTTTCTGTAACGTTCTGGTGTTTCGCGACGTTTCCATGACATTTCCGTGACACTGTCGATTTTATTTCTTCATGAAAAATAACTGAATTATATTTATCAGAATTATCACGACTATGAATGCTAAATTGATATTCGATATAATATTCGATGATGTGACGAATTTTTCATGGCCCACTGGTGCTGGGGATGTCGGAATAATTGTTGTTGATGTGTTTTCGAAAAACTGCCATTGTCCTAGCTCCCCAAAGGTCCTATCATCGAAAATCAAACGAATTCTATATTTCGTTGCGTTTTTCGGCACTTGTATTGAGAATACTTCCATCCGACCATCATTGATGTACCCTCTTCTCATACCAATCCACTGACATGATCGATTATTGAAACAAATTCCCGCTTCGCTAACTTTGTTCGGCACATTCATGTACAATATATTGTTCATAATTGTGAACAGCAATACGTATGTTGCTCTCAAAATAGCCATATTTTTTTCGTAGTTTGCTGCGTTGTAGGTATGCGTCGAGTTTTGATAGCGTCTTCTAATAATGTAATTCTCGAAAAATTTCTAATGATCAGCTGCTTATCCTCGTAATGTTTTATTGTAGCTTCTAGTTCTTTTATTTCCTTCTGGAATTCCTGCAACTGACGTTTGTACTCTGCCACAGACATTGGAAGACTACCGCAAAACACCCAACTACCCCATTTTTATGTCTTGATTTGCATGCGCACACGCAAAAGCAAAAATGTTTGCATACCCTGCACGCCATTCCATCCACTTGGTCCCCCCATATAATGGAAAAGAGTACAAGTACTTTACAACATCAAACTCACCCATCTACAAGGATACCGATTTAAATGTATGGTTCGACGAAAAAGTTACCGCACCAATTTTGACGGAACTGGAGGAATTCCAAGAGCGTGACAGCGGATGGGCGCTAAAAAATATCATCAATCTAGGGGTGGACATCAACAAGTTTACTCCTCAACTTGGATCTTCATACATCGAGTTGCCTCCTCAGATAAAGCGGAAGCGAGCTTGCGTCAACGTGAAAAACGATAAATCTTCGTGCTGTCTGAGAAAAATTGTTAACCTAATTATTTATCGTCGCAAGTGGTCAAAGTAGGTCTACCGGAGAGCTTCCCACTATAAAAAGAAGCAACGCGCCACAGGGCACTACCTCGAGGGTGGTGGGGAAATGTGCTGCTATTTGTATAGTTTATTGAATATATTATAAACATTTCCAACACTGTGTTTGATTTCAATCCTTTGGTGTAACCCAGAGCTGTTTTACATGTTTTTAGTTGAGAGTTATTCCCGTTACATTGCCGCAGCGTTTCTGTGACAAGCTAACCTGCAGCAATCATTATCTACGTTACCAGAAGATACAAGCGAAAGTGTGCAGACTTCGAGATGATCACTCGCATCATGTGTTTTGGGTAGAGAGTAGTTCGACATATTTCCTGGTTTTTAAATACTTCCACTCCATACGTCTCCTGTCAAAAAACATCTGTCATAAGTAAGCTATCCCTTTGCCGAGCCCACCTGAAGTGTGGTGGTCTAACCTTGTATATTTTTTATTGCTATTCAACTCAACCGTCTTTTATATTGAATGAAATCATGAGCTTGCGTTAGCTGTCTAATTGAAATAACTGTATTCAGTAATGGGTTATAAAAATCGGGTTATTCAACAAAGTATCACACCTAAACATGGCTAATCTCTAGCGTTCATAACCTCCTAGCACCCTTAACCTATACGCGGGGTAGTCTACCTGCCAGGTACCTGATTGTTTTTGCTTTCGGCAAGCATCGTGGAGTATAATCAACGGTATACGTAGCGACCGCCTATCAAATGTCATAAGCCATCTGTCGGCTGTCGATTGTTCAGCGAGCACCAGAAGGTCACGTGGTATACCTCGTATGTCATATATCGAATGTGTTATGTTAGTTGTCATCCGCTGTCGTACTTTAGGTGTTATAGCAGTCTCTGAGCATGACAAGAAGTGGGGTGGTCTACCCGCGAGTCGCCCTATATCTATAACTCAAACACCCTGTATATTGAACGGAATCAGCAGCTAGTGCGTCATACTTTACCTATCTGTTTTGCCGGGTCCATCTGAACATACTGCATATTGAATGAAATCATTGAAATCATCAGCGGGGTAGCCAGCTAGCAAGTCGCCTGGTCATGTGTCATTAATCCTGTCAACGGCCTTCTATCAAACGTCATCTGCCATACGTCATACGTTAGCTGTCTAATATGATTGCTTAGCCCACCTAAAGTGTGGTGGTCTACTCATGAGTTGCCCTATTTTTCTCAATTTTTATTCAACTCTAACACCCTGTATATGAATATTCAATTTTGTTATTGAACTGATGGCTTGCGAGGTAGCTAGCTTGCAGGTCGCCTAGACACGTGTCATCGAAAGTTTGATATCTGTCAACGAACATCTATTATACGTCATCTGTCATGCATTACCTATCTGTTTGCAGAGCCCACCTAATGTGTGGTGGTCTACCAGTGAGACAGCTGTATATATTTTCAATTTATATTCAACTCAAACACCCTGTATATCGACCCAGCTATTGGCATCGATGTGTTATTGCGGTTCTTATCAGCAGCTTGCTGATAGCTCACTCGTCGGGGTCAGATGACCTTGAAGGGGACCGTTTTTGCTATTTTTGAGCTTAAAATTCGCTGAAAAAAAGTCCGTAGACCTAGGGAAAAATCTGGTCTGCTTTACATTGGCTCTTATGGGGCTTCCTGCCGTACATCGTGTAATTTCCGTAGAATCTAGGGAAAAATGACTTAGAATTTTGAAAATTGGTCGGGAACTGGTACAGCTCCTTTACTTAGGGTATGCTAATGACAACAGCTATACTGGACGAGACTGGACAAGTTTGTAACATATGGTAGATCAAGATCTTGATATAATCAGAAAAATTGATGGAAAATAAACTCCCAACTACTATAAGTTATTTAAGAAACTTCTACTTGCCCATCTATGGAAATTGAGAAACTGAACCCGACATTGATAAACTGAATAGTAGCTCTGGTATTTCAATGAACTCTTGTAAGGAATACACTTTTCTAGATGAAATAATCGATCAACAGCTGCAATGGGGCAAATACATTGACTATGAAGTAGAAAAAAAAGCAATACCTCATTCATAATTCCGAATATTGAGAGACATAATATTCTATATTGAATGCAATTGAAATTAATTGATTATGCCTCAGTAAAGTCCCATATAACACATGATCTATGTATAAGAATTCCTGTATATACCTCAGACAATATCTATCAGGAAAGTGGGAAAGTTGGACTCCAGACAACTCTACTGTCGGACTGAGAAAGGTTGGCCGAATTGGAGCAGACGATGACATGCAGAACAAAAGGCAGTTCTTCATGCAGAGAATCTGCATTGAAGTGTTTATTTTGAGACCGGATATCAACAATGCTTGAGTAACCTAACCAAAAATAAAATAATGATACCTAATACGGATTCAGAAACAGTTTGCCAACGCAAGTTGCCATATTATCTTCAACCTCACTGTATTCTATATTGGCTAAATCAATGCATGCTTCATAGTTTGCGTTTTCTTTGCAACTTTTCCGATTCTGGTTTCTACTTTTCATTTCGTCTCACTACAAGAAATGACGTGAAATTCTGTTTTTCTTCTTCAACAACATCAACAACAAAGGGTGGTATTGAATGGATTTGCTGCAGAACCTTCAATAGAAGAGCCCAGTTAGGTTGTGGTTGTGCCAGGAGAACCATTAATTCCAAGGCTATGGACGCTTGCGGCGTCAAATCATCCATTTTGGAAACTGCTCGCGAATCACATGTCTGGAAAACATCTGGCAGAGCAAATAGTATCCAGGGAGCCACTCCTGTGCCTCTGGATTTGAACATCTCCACGTTATCTAGTCCTTTCTTGAAAATCTGCAAGAAAGCGATAGATAATAGGCGGCTCGGTGGTCGAGAGCGTGAAGGCGCTGAGTTCGTATGGGGACTCCCACCGAGACATAGGTTCGAATTCTAGTTAGGCCCAGGATGTTGTGTTTGTATGAATACCTAACCCCGCACAAGTTTCGACTTATGGGGCATTTGGTCCCAGTGCTGGGACCAACGAGGTATGCAATTGCAAAAAAAATGAGTCAAATGACGCGATGTTTGTATTTTGCGAATATTAGTCTTTTGAAGTATCTAAATATTTATGATTCATTTGCACTTCAACATCCCCAACAACACAGGGATGTCCTAGGTACGTCCCTTTTTTGTCTCACATGATTGGGGCATCCAAGGGATGTCCGGTTCGATTGACATTCCGCCTGGCACATCCCTAAGTTATCCTATTCGTATCTCTGAAATATCTGATATCCATTCACATCGGAGTCATTGAATCTCATCAAAATTTTGAGTTGCATTTTTTAAAAATGTTTGTTTTTCTTCCGGAAAATAATTCTAATGAAAATAAAGAATATAGTCTCAGACCTTCTTGAAAAATGACCATTTTTCGCAAACAGAAATCGTAAATGCATAATGCTCCTAATTTTTAAACACCCAAGAATGATAATAAATATGCCCAAATCCTAACAAAGTTGTGGCCAATCAGGTTTCTGTAGTTCAGCCCTGTTTATAAATCTTCAGAAGGTATATTAGCCAATAGAGTTAGGTGCGTGCCTGATGAGCCAAATAGTTCCCGGCTTCAATTCCTGCTCGACCTGAATTTTTTTTCCGTTTATCGAAGGGATGTTCCTGGAATATCCTCAGGAAGTCCTAGGGATATCCTTTCTTCGTACTTGGTACATCCTAGGGACGTACCAGAAGGACGTCCCTTGGCTGCCTTTTTTGTCGGCCAGCGGATGTCCTTGGAACGTCCCTGGTATGTACTTTGTCCGACAAAAGATACCCCTGGGATGTCCTAGTATAAAATTAGGGACGTCATTGGGAATTCCCTAGGAAGTACTTGTGTTGTTAGGGATCCTACATTGAAGTGATGGTGCATTTTTGGAAGTTTATCGGCAAAAGTCCCATTACTTTGAGAGCCTTCATCACATCTCGAGATGAAAGAATTGAAAACAACTTGTGATGTTTCGGTACTGGGTTTATACCGGGTGTTCCACTTATGACTAACCACCCTCGATAATTCTCAAAAAAAATATTTTACAAAAAACAACGGAATACCTTTCTTCATTTTGAGGAAGACACCGTTTCACGCAGAGAAGATAATACATACTCCAACCCTCTGCTCCCCAAAGCAACCCCCCCTTCAATGTGAATAGGTAACAAGGGTAATATTATACATATTATATCGTCGCGAAGGTGATTTAATTCTGACACTAGCAGTGCAAAGGTTTCCGAATTGCAACAAGCAATGGCCACAGTGAGCCCAGTCTGGCAACACTGTTCAGAAGGTCTACCTCCAGCAATTCGCACAAATACGATATTTGGGTTCTGGATGGACCAGAGTGATTGTTTTTAGTCTTCAAAAGTTTCTGAATTGGGGTTTTGTTTTATGATTTCCTATTGCTGAAATCAAAGTGAGTTATTTCAACCTTTCTCATAAGAATAGGCCAAATATTTGCTGTGTGACAGGGTGTATGTCAAATCACGCTACGGAAAAGAAACATTTCGACTATCAAATTTCCTAAAGACGAAGAACTGCCAAAAAAGTGGACATTTTTGATACCTCGTAAAAATTAGTTCCCATCATCTCAACAATCCGCAGTGTGTGCGATTCATTCCGTTGAAACAGATATTATCAGATATGATACATTTTCTCTTCCAGTTGGATCAATTGGGAAAAAAACAAAGAAAGCCACAGTTGGTTAGAACAGCAGTTCCCTCTATTTTTCCAAATTCACCAATTTACTTTTTTGAACCTAATACTGCTGATTTTGAAAAAGTCGACCTCATTCATATGTAGAAAAATTCAAAACTGTTAGTTTCCGGAACTATGTCACTTTTCATTGATTACTCTTTTCCCACATTCCTTGAGGACAATCGGTGGGATTTCGTCGGAGCCATGCACAAGCTTTGTTGGTGTTGAGACCCAATGAAATCTTTATGGAACTGGAAGTGAAGTTTCTTCCTTGTTGGTAGATCAATGCAGGATATGAGTTATCGAATAATTACCCACAAATATGTTAAAAATTACCTTCGTTGACCCCCAGACAGTAGTACCGTATTTGCAAATTCGCCTGGCACGTTTCAAAATGTTCCTTTAGATATTTCCTTATTCTTCATGACCCTCGTTGTTCCCTATTCAAATTATAGAGGATGATGCTCTAAGAAGTAGAGGGTTGAAGTATGTTTTTATCTTTTTTGTGTCAAACGGTGATTTTCTTCAAATAAGAATCGACGTGATTCGTTGTTTTTTGTTTAATAATTTTTTTCGACGGTTATTATCGAGGGTATATATTTATAAGTGGACCACCTGGTATTTATCTTTGTTCAATATATGCAATTGATGAGGATAAATATACACTGAGTGCTGAGTGTTTTTGTACAAAATTCTGGACTACCTTTTATGACAATGCTGCCAATATTGATACCTACTTTGTACAGATCTTCGAGTTGGGCGCCTCTTAGCAAAAGACAGCTGAGTAGTTCCTGACATTTGGTGTGTATGTCTCTCAGGATTTTGCTACTAGTATTGTAGGTAAATCCAATGAGTTCCTTGGCCGATTCACAAATGGCGGGCAGCAATTGGGCGATACAAAGCAGCAAGTTGCTGATGTCCACAACCATAAGTCGACATCTCGCCTCTGACGGTAGACTCTGAAAAAATAGTCATGGAACGAATGACAAACAGTAAGGTAGGTACCTAATTAGGAAGAACTACCCAGGCAACCAGATGACGTCGTTTCATTGACGTGTTTTATGTCAGTTGAATTACCAAGGTTAGGTCAGGAGTTGACGTCGTATGACGTGATAAATGACGGGAACAAGTCTTAGCTCAATGACGTCATATTACTCACATTCATTGACGTTAGTCACTCACCCAACGATGTCGTCGGAATACCATTAAGATGACGTTGAAATTTGGTGATCAAAAGTAAAAAAATTTCCTCGAACATGGTGTGGTAGACACTACTGACCTCTGATGACATCTAATATCGATTATGCATCGTTAAAACTGCTCACCCTGATAACACAAATACGTTCCATGGATATCCTTAGGACGTCCTGCAGGGAAATTCAGAATATTCATAGGACTTTCAAATTTGGTACCGCGGATGTTCATTTTACGTCTGTGCAACGCACAAATGTCTGACTTGAAGACCAACTAGGGACGTCCTTTTACACGTTCTTATACATCGTTAACACGAGAGGACCCTGCTTTGTCTACGATGACTGGCGGTAGGATCGCTTCGGGCTCCCCCCTCCCTGACGAACTGAATAAGGCACAAAAGGTACACCAAAGTTCCAGTTTCCGCTGAGCAAGCCCATAGCTACCCATGTCGACCGGAATCCTCCAGTCCCGTTTGATGGGTGTTCCGTACCGCTACCATGTTGAGAGTGGGGACCTCAAGCTTTCAACCAGAGATGCCTGGAGTCACCTGGGGCTCCCCCCACTTGACGCCGTGAGTGCCCACGGTCATCCCTGGGACAACTTTCGGATACCTGAACTCTAGAGAATTTCTCATCAAGCACAACGAAGGACATCCGTAGGACATTCATAGGTCAACCTATCAGAGACGCTGACGGATATAAATTGGACGTCCATAGGGCGTACGAATTTATCTTGAATTTTGGAGTCTTCCTGGGACCAGATTCAGCATAACTAATGAGGTACTCCAGTTGAGTTGATGGTCTGTAGAAGGTCCCTAAAAGGTTCTGATGAAGGTTTCCAAGAGGTCCCATCAAAGAAGTTGCCCAAGGATGTCCAATGGACTAACGTAAGGGATATTGACGGGAAGTATTTATACCCTACGAGCAGTCATTCAATTAAAAGCAGAGGACATAGTTTCTCGAACACGAATATTCAGAGAATCCTTCCTTGTCTTCGACTCGGGAAACAAAATGTTGGTGTTCTCGATAGAATTTCTGGTAATAAATTGAAGCTCTCTTCATGTTATAAAATCACTTTCTGTTCAAATAACTCCTCGAAAAAAAATGACTATTGTTGATGTTTGCAGACCTCTGGGATGAGAAGACTCAATATATGGATAGGAATTACAGAATATTTTGAGATAACTTCTCAACTGAAGTGGCATATTGCAAATATTGCATAGTTTTTATAAGTACAAGTACTCACCTGCGTGTAGCGAATTGTCAGAATTGTCAAAGATTCATTCAGCATACCCGAAAAGACTCTCTGGGCCATGCTAGGCGGTACAGTATTCCACAAATCCTCTTTGGTTCCTATTAAATGACAAATGATATAAGTATAGGTGATAGTAGAAATCAGAAGTACTTTCATCAAATTACGATATTTGCAACTCGAAAACTTGATAAGACTCATTGAAAACAATTCACTTCAAAAACAAAGTCATTTGATCAAAAAAAAAACACACTCCGCAAGGCGATTTCGATTGAGTAAATCTATATCTATATACAAGGTGGTCCAGAACAACATAGACCAATTTAGGCCTATTCAAATCAACTTACTTCTATACGAAAATCCACCGTTGAGCTGTTGAGAGCAGGGCGAAGAAGAACAATAACATTTAATTTCCTGATTTTCTTTATTATTGTGGAATCCTTGAGATGCTGCTCTTGAATATTCAGGGCGATTCACTATAGTGAATGTGCATGGAAAACATGTCGTACCAATTCAATCAATATACAGGGAGTTAGGTATTTCGCATTCACTTTGATAAAAATTAATGTAACTTTTTTTGGAGTACGGCACTGGCCATATTTTGATATTTCGATGGATGACAAAATCAATCATCTCACTTTTTTCTAACTGCAGTTTCTTATAATTGTTTTTCTTGTTTTCGAGATATCTAACAGTATTTATTGCTTATGATTATGACGATTATCATGTTTTGCAATTTTTTGGCTCATTTGTGCTTCAGCATATGATGATGTTGTTGGTCAATCAAGTTTTTTAAGCAGAAATCTTGAACTGAAATTTGAAAATGTAAAGGTGAATAACTATAGGTATACTCGACGAAATCGCAAAGTATGGTTGTTTAAACAATCTACTTATACACTTTTGCCACTAGATGACTGTTAGGGCTATATCGTCCTCCTACCCTTCGGGGCATTTGATTGACTTCATATATAGTAGCACCCATCGTGAATCGACTGTCAGCTGACCTAGTGCAACTGATGAGGCTTGGCAGAACTGAAACAGACTGTATTGCACCAGCTGACTATCGATTCACGAAATTTTCCTAAAATCTCTTGGTCTTGGGATTTTAGGTTCATCATCATCTGTCGATGGGGCATTAAACCACTGTCAGAAATCTGGTGTTGAGATAGTCTGTAGAATTGTAGCACTTTTGCCTTTCTGTAATAATATAGACGTAGGGCTATATATTCGACGTACTCGCAAGGTATGGTAGTGTAAATAATCCATTTATACACCTTTGCACTTCTGCCACTAGATGGCTCTCAGGAGTAGATCGTCCTCCTACCCTTCGGGGCATTTGGTTGACTTCATATTTAGTCGTGAATCGATCATCAGCTGGCTCAGTGCAACTGATGGGGCTTGGCAAAGCTGAAACAGACTGTCTCGCACCAGCTCACAATCGATGCACAATATTTTCCTAAAAACTATGAGTCTTGAGATTTTAGGTTCCTCACCATCTGTTGGTGGGTCATTGATCCACTGTGAGAATTCTGGTGTTGCGATAGTCTGCAGGAATGTGGCATTTTTGCCTTTCTGTAATTATATGGACGTACTCGCAAGGTATGGTAGTTCAAACAATCTACTTAAACACCTTTGTACTTCTGCCACTAGATGGCTCTTAGGACTGATCGTCCTCCTACCCATCGGGGCATATGTTCTCTGTATAATGATTGAAATGGTATACATGTTTTCCATGCACAATTGAACATACAATATATTAAATCACCCTACGAATTTCAGAGCAGTACCTTTCAAGGATTTCGACATATTGAAGAAAATCGCCCTCTCGCGGCACAACGGTTAATTTTCGTGAAGAGGTAAATTGATTTCAATCGGCCTATTTTGATATTTAATTCAACCTGTGGAATTTATAGTACCTTGATCTGGGACACCTTGTATATAAAAATGAATGTTTGAATGTCCATAGAATCGTAAAACGGCTTGACCGATTTCACTTATTCTTGTCAAGTTGTACTTATTTGTTGATATCAGAAGAAGGTTTTTATGAGAGGAAAAATTGAGAAATTCAAGATGGTGGATCCAATATGACGGACGAGTTTTGTAACTATAATCCGATTCTATTCAAAATTGGAATCTGGAGGTTTTTGGGGTCGAAGATTATAAGTTTATTTGTCAAAATTGGAAAATTCGAGATGGTCGATTCAATATGGCGGACGAATTTTGTAATTATGTTCCCATTCTATTCCAAATTGGTATCTGTAGGTTTTGGAGGTCGAACATTATGATTCTTTCCTCAAAATTCGAAAATTCAAGATGGATATGGTGAACGACTTTTGTAATGATGATCCGATTCTATGCAAAATTGGTATCTGGGAGTTTTTCGGTCCAGAGATAATGACTCTTTCGTCAAAATTCAGAAATTCAAAATGGCATATCCGAGCTTATTGATTATCATCCGATTCTATTTAAAATTGATGTCTGAGGTTTGTCGTGGTCGCAGATTGTGATTCCTCCGTCATAATTAGAATATTCAAGATAACGTATTCCATATGTCAGATAAATATAGTGTTTCGACTTATAGAAAACGTTTCCATAGATAGTCAAATTGAACAGAAGTTGAAAATAGATAGTAGTTCAGAAAACTGGAGAGATAGATTTCCATTAAACTAAAAAGAAGAAGAAAATGAATAGTAGTTTGAAATACTGAAGAAAACACGCTTTGATGGTTAGTCTAACCAAACCAGTGGCGTGCCCAAGATTTTTTTCTCGGAGAGGTTATCAGTTCAATCAATGAATCAATAGTTTCATAAAAAAAATTTTATTCTGAAAACACCTGGACTAGAGGCTTACAGTTGCTAGCAACATAAAAATAAACTGAATGATGAATATAAAATGAAAATTTCTTCAGTAACAACAAAAAATCCATATAACATACTACTAATTAAATTGAAATTTCACTTCGAAATCGAAATATGTAAGGCTCCGAAACTACTGGATCGATTTGGATGAAAATTGGTGGGGAGGTAGCTTAGAACCAGGAGAAGGTTATAGAATACTTTTTATACCAGTATCATTAGGAAATTGAAGATGGCGAATCAAATATATCAGACGAGTTTTGTAATTATTGGTATCTGGAGGTTTTCGGGGTCGTAGATTATGCTTCTTTCGTCATAATTAGAAAATTCGGGCAGAATTTGGAAGTTCAAGATGGCGGGCGAGTTTTGTAATATTTATAATCCGATATTTCTCAGAATTGACACCTAGGGGTTTTTTGTGTTCGGGGAATATGACTCCTTTGTCAAAATAAAAATATTCAAGATGGCGGATCCAAAATAACGGATTCTGTAATTAGGATCCGATTTTATCCAAATTTGATGGTATCTGGTGGTTCTTGGGGTCGGAGATTATGATTCTTTCGTCAAAATTAGAAAATTCAAGATGGCGGACCCAATATGGCGGACGAGTATTGTAATTATGATCCGACTCTCTTCAAAATTGTATTCTGGGTGTTTTATAGGTAGGGAGATTATGATTCTTTTGTCAAAATTTGCAAAGGGCAGGATTTGGATATTCAAGACGGTGGAACCAATATACCGGATGAGTTTTGTAATTCTATACCGAAACTGATCAAAATTTGTAAGTGGGTGTTTTCGGGATCAAAAATTATGATTCTTTCGTCAAAAACAGGGAATTCAAGATGGTACATCCGATATTGTGGACGAGTTTTTTATTAATTATGTTCCGATTCTATCCAAAATTTTAATCTGGGGTTTAAGGAGTCAGGAATTATGATTCTTTCGTCAATATTGGGAAATTCAAGTGTACTAAAAAGGAGTTGAAATAAATGGTAATTTGAGCAACTGAAGAAACACGCTTTTATGGATAGCGAAACTGAAGAGACGTAGAAAATAAAATAATAATAGCGTTTTGATGAATATTGAACTGGAAAAATATATATAATAGAAATAATGTATACCGGGTGGCAACGGAAGTATTGCCTACGGAATATCTCAGTTATTGTATGAAGTAGGTTTGTGAAATTTGGAGCGTCGATATAATGACATAAGAACTAGAATTTGGGCATATTGACATGTCGAAGTTAACTTCCGGTCTAACCGGAAGTAACATCAACTTTCTTATTTCAAATGGAAACCCAAATTTTTTTTCTTTTCGCTTTATTCAGCAATCAATTCCCTTTCTTATGACATATCACAAGTTGGTATCTAACTAGAAACTAGATCAGAAAAAAATTATTATTGAAATTCACCGAGTAGGCCGTGGAAGCAAAATGAAAGCCAAACATTGAAAAGTTGGCTATGGAAACCATACGTCACTTGATAACAGTTGCTACTACAGTGATATTTTATTTTCATTCGTCGGCGTTATGAAAAGAAAAGAAAGAAAAAACAATACTCTGTAGGTCCATGATTTAAATAGGAACATGCAATTTTTTCTTGCCTGTACTATTCGGCATGACCATTTCTTCCTAATGATATAATAGAAAGTCATTTTTTGAAATGAAATACCAAAAAATCCTATTATTATTCTACTCGGTGAATTTCAATAATAATTTTTTTCTGATCTAGTTTCTGGTTAGATACCAAATTGTGATATGTCATTAAAAAAAGGAATTGAATGCTGAATAAAGCGAAGAGAAAAAAAAAGGGTTTCCATTCAAAATAAGAAAGTTGATGTTACTTCCGGTTAGACCGGAAGTTTACTTCGACATGTCAATATGCTCAAATGCTAGCTCTTATGTCATTATATCGACGCTCTAAATTTCACAAACCTACTTCATACAATAACTGAGATATTCCGTAGGCAATACTTCCGTAGCCACCCGGTATAGCAAAACATCGTTTGCGAGGTCTGCTAGTTATAAATAAAAAATATAAGTCGGCTGTTTGTCATGCTCTTGGGATATCATCACCTTTGCATATCACTGACTCTATGACTCATCTAAAAATAACTGGGGGTACATATTTATGTACTTGGACTACCATACCTTGCATGTACAGCCACCACATCTGGATAATGTACGACCCTCTTTCGGATTCCGAAAAGGGCTTTTCGTTCTCCCAATCCAGACATTCGGCGTCTTGAAGAATGTACAAAGACAAGAGTCTGCAATGCAAGTCCAGCAACCGTTCGGCCAGAGCCTCGCACATTTCTTTGTACTTCTTGTGTGCCGCCTGTATCTGATCGATGCTCTCGTTCTTGGTACTATAAGTTAGTACAGGGTGATTGACTATGAATTTTATAACTTTTAACACTCAATATCTCGAGAGCTAATTGAAACAAAATCTTGAATCGGTTGTTATTCTCTTTCGCATGTTGCCCTCCAAACATTTTATCTCTATTCCATGAGGGGGTGTACAAATTTTCGATTTTTTCAAATAGATTACCCTTTATTTCATTGCATATCTTGAAAGAGTGATTTTCGCTGCTTTCAAAAATATATGATTTTCATACATTCCATGGAGTAATACTGAATTTTTGTTATGGAATCATGTTATGCGACTCAAGTTGACCTGAAACCAAAAGATTATCGGTAGGATTTATTTTCAGATCACCTGAAAGCAAACTTGAATTCATTTAGATGATTTCACGATCACACTTTCAATCAGTTTCAATTTATATTCCTTCGATTCATCCAGTATTACCCACTCCATGGAATGTATGAAACTGATATACTTTTGAAATCAGCAGAAATCCCCCTCTCAATATAGGGTGTTCCATTTGAAATTAAGTTAAATTTCCACATCCCCGTATATGGAATGGGTATATAAATGTTTCGAGGGCATCATTCGGGAGAGAACAAAATCTGATTCGAGATTTTGTTTTGAAGTTTCCAATATCTCAACTAGTCGTGAGATTTGTACAAAATTCAGACCGATATAAATTATTGTCAATATTATCAGGTATTCAGAGACGAACATCTTTTTGGACAGTGCCGTGCATTCTCATCGGGATAAAGTGGGGTCGATTATTAATTAAATCATATCAGGATTTTTTTTGCAGTAAAATCAACTATGTATTATCATTTTCCATGCATTCGAACCTACATATTACCTATACAAAAAATCAGGACATCATTAAGAAATTCTGAATAAACAGGATTGATGATTTAAAAGATGAAGCAATAACATAATATAATACTTTTTTTTATTATTTTGAACTCACCATTCCCTAGTGAATAATTATTTACATTCGCAAAAATGCTACTTAGATACCTGTTTTTTTGAAACCCTCCATAGAAATTTTATGAAAACTCACATTTATGGGAGTTGAAATACCATGAGAAACAAAATTATATGGTAAGTTTCCCTGTAAAAACATGCCTAATATGATTTAATTGACTTTCTTTATTCATTATAATAAAACCGCACGGCACACATACGGGTCCATATTTGGTGGGAATCGCACCACTAATAGCTGAGATATAGAGGGAGGGGGCGTTTAAACTGAGACACGCTCTATATTATTGCTCAATTATAACATTTCATCTATGCCTCGTGAACCCTTGATGAAGATATATTTTGAATTCATATACCAATAAATGTTATAGCTGTTCTGATTTGAGAAAAAAAATCTACTTCTTTATAAGTGCCTATCATTCGTCCTAGCATAGATCAACAGGAGACTCGTTAATCAATAGTTCTAGTTAACATTTTGGTCGAATCCACGCGTTTATAACATCAAGATTCGCTAACACAGTATATGATTTAAATTCATGTACTTATAAATGCTAACTGGTTTAATTTTTTAAAAAATCTTCTTCTTAAGTGCCTATCAGAAACGTAAAATAGTCTTCAATACAAAGGCTCAACCAAATATCTTGAAGTCACAATCGACTCCAAGTTGACCTGGAATGAGCATATAGGTGATCGCGATGCTGCTACTGGGCATGCAGAAGAGCCTTCGGGAAAACGTGGGGCCTATTACCTAAGACCCTTCACTGGATATACACAATTATTCGCTCAACACTAACGTACGGGTCCATCGTATGGTGGACCAGTACTTAAAATGGCAAAACCAGACATGAACTGAATAGAGTTCAGCGACTGGCTTGCTTAGGAATGACAGGTGCTATGAGAACAGCGCCCACTAGGGTCCTTGAGGTCCTACTAGGTCTGCCCTCTCTACAGCTAATTGTAGAGCATGAAGCCATGCGCACTGCCTACAGACTCAAAGGTGCAAACCAATGGATCGAAAAAGCAGACTATGGAATATGGAACAAGGCCGAAGAAAGCTGTCCCAGTCTGATGAAGGGGCAGCACTCTGCCAGTTCTGAATTTCAATAAAGCTCCGCATGTCATTTTTCCTACAAGAGAGGAATGGACTGGCAATACACCAGGTTTGCTTCCTGCCTACGAATCAACCTGATTCACGGATGGCTCAAGGTTTGGTGGCGGGTCTGGTGCAGGAGTATATGAAGGAGGAACAGGGAAAGGAATCTCAGTACCTCTTGGCAAATACGCTTCAGTATTCCAGACCGAAGTGTTTGCAATTCGGACGTGTGTTCAAGGAAATTTCGGCAGAATTGGACGTGGACCAGTCACCATATGCTCGGATATCAAAGCTGCTATTATGGCATTGAGATCCAATAGAATCACAACTAAATTGGTGTCCGAGTGTAGAAGTGCCTTAGAAAATATGGCAAAAACTAGGAAAGTCAGCCTCATGTGGGTTCCAGGACACTCTAGTATCCCGGGGAACGAGGAGGCAGACAGCCTAGCCAAGATCGGTTCAGGAACGACACCTATTGGACCAGAACCGATATTGGGAATACCCAATAGTACGGCTATTTCCTTCATGAAGGAAATGCTACAGAGGCAGTTCCTTGAAACATGGCGGGACACACCAGGAATGAGACAATCAAAGCTCCATATATAGGAACCTTCAAAAAGGCTCACGAGAGAGATCCTGTTACTCAATATAATGGATCTCAAGATGGAAGTTGGGTTCTTAACTGGGCACAACCACCTCAACAGGCACCTAGAACTCATAGGGATCGGAGATGATCCCATCTGCAGATGGTGCTTGGAGGATGATGAAGCATCATCACACATACTCACTGAATGCCCCGCGCTGGTGCATCAGAGGGAAGCTGCCTTTGGGAGCATTGTACTGCACCCAGAGGATGTGAAATCGACTCAGCTGAGGAAGCTGCTGAATTTCGTCAAAGAAATCGGCATGCCCAGTTGATTCACAGGACAAGCGGGCGCACAATGGGCCCGACTGAAGAGGCCTGAGTGCAGGGGTCTACGCACCCGCCCACCTGTGCAGAGAAGAAGAAGAAGAAGTGCCTATCATTCGTTCTAGCATAGATTAACAGGGGACTCGTTAATCAATAGTTCTAGTTAACATTTTGGTCGAATCCACGCGTTTATAACACCAAGATTCGCTAACACAGTATAGCTTCTACAACTGATATATTCGTATGATAAAATTTATTGACGTGTTTCCAATCATTTTGTGAGAATCGTATCGTTTGTGAAGTTCTTCACATTTACTAGGTATTTATATGCATCTCCATCAAGTAACGTTCGATTCAATACGAAAGATAGCATTGTCTGTACTCTATGAGATGATTCGAATAATGTGCCCAGAGGAAAACTGCCGAGGCTCCGAGGCAGATTTTGAATATATACCACTCGATCACTTACATGGTTTGAATGTAGAACCATAGACAATTCTTGAGCAGAGCTGTTGCTCCAATGGTACCAGTCAGAACCGTCAGATCTGCATGATCAAGTGCTTCTTGTGTAAGAACGTGCAGATGCTCTGATATCAAGAAAGAATACTGTTATCATTTTGTGTCCTTCTATAGAATTGTAATTTTTACAGAATTGATCGATTGAAAGATGAAAGTTAATACAAAAAAGGTGTCCTTTTAATTCTTTGAATTTGGGATAAGAAAAGTTTGATTATTTTTTCATAATTGAATCTTCATGTTTTTCCTCATATGCAAGTCTTATCATATTAGGTAGATTTTCAAAAATATAATGTACCTTTTGTAATTGCTTATAATCCAAGAGCCGGCTGCAGTATTCGGCCGTCATCTCATAACAAAATGATAATAGGTGTAGAATACAATAGAATAGGAGAATATTTATTGTAATGACTATTCCCTTGATCTCGAGAACCAATTAGAATCGACCATTTTCACGGTTTCTTCTGTATTCTAGCGATATTTTTTGTTTATTAAATTTTATCGGACTTGCTCTACCAATACAGAAGCCGAATTGCCCCACACGTGACCAAGAAACCTCTTTTATCAGCGATACAATTTTGACATCGTGTCTGGTCAAGATTGCTTTGGATTCAAATCTGAGACAATAACCTAAGTACCTACTTTATTTTATTTATTTATAATTCGCGTTAGTGAGACATTTTGTTCGAAAGGCGAGACAATTTTATTTTGGCTGGACGTTTCATGTGTAATTTAAAAAGTTTGCATATTTGTTGACGGTCTGACACAACAATACTAGAATTCAAATTCCTTTTGAAAGTAATCTTCTTCAATCACTCTAGTTATTGTGACTAGTGTAATTAACAGATGATGATATAGGGTTGTTGCGCGAAGATACGAAGGTCGATGATTCTAGCCCCTCGACGAAGATATATATATATTTTTTTTATTATTTTATGTCACATAAATTCAATTTATTTTGTTCGAAGTGGATAGCAATTGTATACACTCTTTTGAGAGCGACCATCTCCAAGATAATGAAAAAATACTGTCTATCAAAATTGTATATTCCACTTTGTGAATAACTATAAGTAGGTAGTTAATTTCTAGAAAATTGAATTCTATATTTCATTACTATCATTATGTTCTTCTTCGCAGTTTGTGTCGGAATAAAATTAAATTATGTTTCCTATTTCTTATAAGGGTGGCCCATCGAAAACGTACCGCAAGGCATTACAGGCTGGGAAACAACTTTTCGATAAAATCCAAAAACAGGTCAAGTTTGTTTGCGAGGGGGACACAATTTGACGTAACAAGAATAGTAAAATCTTCAACCCCCTGAGTAGTGGGGTCACCCCAACAGTTTTCTCAAATGGGAAGGGTGGTCAAGCGATACCTCTTTAGAAGGGGCTTGTCATTTCCTATACAGTGCTGCTTAGATTTTTCAAATCGATCTACTCTTTCAGAAAATAT